GGGCTGGGGCAGCCACAGCTTCTCTGGGCACCCTGTGCCAGCGCCTCAGCACCCTCACAGGGAAGAACTTCTGCCCTAGATCTAACCTGAACTTCCCCTGTTTCAGTTTGAACCCATTAAATGGTAAAATGCCCCTTGACCAGGTGGAAGGGCAGCCCAGAAAGTACATAAATAATAACAGCATTAGAGATGTGGAATGATTACTTTGCTTTGCTTTAGATGAGGTGAAGAAGTACTTCTTCAGTGTTTTGAAACCCTCTTTCTGGAGACTTTATTTGGGAGGAAGAGTCCTTAATATCACAAAGGATGTTTTAAACCACTGCCTGCCCCCCAACGCGCACCAGCTCGTGGCTGGGAAGCTGCACATCATCGTCACCCGCGTGCGCGACTGCAGGAGCGTGACAGTTTCAGAGTTTGCCTCCAAGGAGGAACTGATCCAGGTGAGAGCAGCCACAGCCACCCTGCGAGGTAAAAATCAGCCCTTCTGAGTCTCTGCAGGGCCTGAGTATGCAGAGAGCAGCATGAGCTGTTCCACAGTTTACCTTCCTACTTCTCCCATCCTGGCTGTGGACTTCAGACATGGTCTGCTCCACAATAATTAGTGGTGCCCAATAAACCAGCTGTGGGAATTTGGCATTCCCAAAGCAACCATCCCAAAGGCAACAGGTTTTCATGGCTCTCTGCTCACCTCTGTGCTTTCCATCTCACCTACAGGCCCTGATGTGCAGCTGCTTCATCCCTCTGTATTTTGGACTTTTACCTCCTATGTACCGTGGGGTGGTGAGTAGCCTTGTGGTTTGGAGACACTCTCAGGCCAAGGCCCCATCTAGTCTGCATCCTTTCTCCAGTGGTGGCATTAAGCACGTTTATCAGTGTGATTGCCACCAGATTTGCTTGGTGCTATGTTCACACAGTGCTGCAGAGGGAAGAAGTGAAGTCAGGTGCCCCACAATGTGACCTCACTGCAGATCTGTCCATCTTCACCCTGTCCAGGGGGACATCTCAACTCCTTTCTGCAGCATTTTCCCCCAGTTTCATTAAACACTAATTCTATGGCTGGAAAGGAGGAGGTGGTGGTGTAGACCTGGAGCTCGTGGGTCAGGGCTGTTCCCTGGAAGGGGACCTCTGTAGCCTCAGTGCTTCAGTCTAGTTTGGGCCTGGGTGGGAAAGAAACCCCAAATGATAGACATGTGGAGAAGGACTCAGGGGTGCTGCTTGATGAGCAACTGAATATGACCCAGCTTCATTGTCCGCTTGCAGCCCAGAACTACCCCCATGTGCTGGGCTGCATCCCCAGAGCACGAGCAGCAGGTTGAGGGAGGTGATCCTGCCCCTCTACTGCCCTCTCAGCAGACCCCACTTGCAGCACTGGGTGCAGTTCTGGTGTCCCCAACATGAGAAGGACATGGAGCTGTTGGAGCAAGTCCAGAGGAGGCCACGAGGATGATCAGGGGCTGGAGCAGCTCCCATATGAAGACAGGCTGGGGGGGTTGGGGGGGTTTCGCCCGGGGGAGAGAAAAT